TTGTCATCAGTCTCCTCCGCCTATTACCGAAGGTAAACTAATCATAGTTGACTTCTAGTGGGTCGCTGCTACACTGATCAAAAAGGTGACATTGACAAATTGAAATAGGTTTCGAATTAGTTTCAATTGTCGAAAGGCTTTTTATTTTCAATGCATGAACGGGGAAAAACGCAAAAGATAAAGTTAAAAGTTCGACTAAGAAAATCTTATGATGAAAGAACATGATGAAGGTTTGAGAAAGAAAAACAAATTTGTTTTATGTTCGATTTGATAAAAAAGAAAAAGAAAAAGAAAATTTAACCTAAAAAAGTTTGTTGTCCAATAATTGAAATAAGATTATCTGTTGGTTTTGTTTGTCGTTGTTCAACAATTGAATATAATAATTTAATTAAATGATTAGCTTGAGATATGGGTGTTAAATATTGATTAGAAGAAATTGTTTGACCATCATTCGATGCAAAATGTTGATTTGCTGTTAATGGTGTTCGATTTTCAGAAGATTTTGAATATCGATTTTCATTTAATGAATTACATAAGTCATTTAATTGAGATTTTTTTTCTAAAAAAATTCTTTCATCAATTATACAGTTTGTTAAAACAATTTCATCATATTGACGATTTATATCACGAATTGTTTCTAAATAATTAAATTCATTTAAAAAATCTTCGCTTTTATCAAGACGTTTCAATAAATCATTGTTTAAATGTTGTTCGATTATTGCTCGACACGTATCCGATGAACAACAATACATTATACATAAGTTATCGATTATGCTTCCATCATTTGAACATAAATCATTTAAACAACAACCTTAAACAAAAAAAACAACACTTTTCTTTTCTTTTTTTAATGTTTTTATTCAATTTATTAGATTTAGTTTAATAAAATTATTTCGATTATTATATATTTATTCGAACATTTTATTTATTCGTTTCGAATAAATAATTCAAATTAGTTTGATTTTGTTGACAACAAATATCGATTTCTAACATAATAAACAACTCGAACAATAAATATTCGACTTATGACACTCTACAATTAATCTATCATTGTTTCAAGTAGAATAGATTGAATAACTCGTTTAATATGATGAAATATAAAGTCTAATATGAATATATCCTTATTTCATTTTATTGAATAAATTAAAATAAATCGTTTATCATAGATATATATTTTTAATGAAATAAAATAAATATTTAAATTGCTCATCTATTAAACAATCAATATAATTGATGAAAATTCCGAGAAGATTTAATAGATATTTATATTTCTATCGTATGTCGAGAATATATATTTATATATGAATACAATCATTATTTGTAAATCTTAATTATAATTATATTATTTATAAATGATTATTAATCGATTGTTCATAGTTATGAGTATAATATCGTTTAAACGATTAAATTGTCAAATATGATTTGAAATAATCGAAAAAGATTAACGATTATTTACGTTTTCATCGATTAATAATCATATTGACAAGAAAATAGGTTTTATTTCTAAGTTATCGATATATATATTCGATAAAAAAAAAATATTTGCAATGATTTTTATTTAATAATATATTGATAAATCTCGAAATAAAATATTTAATTTAATTCTATATTGAGCAATCGAAAATTGAATTTATTTCAGATCTGATCTCAAAGATTTTTAAATAAAAATCCATATTATTAAATAGATTTTTATTTTAAAGAATTCCAACGAGTTTTTAAAAGTAAATTATCTTTTATATAGATACATAAAACTTTTAAAGTTTAAATAAAATAAACAAAAAAAATCTCTTAAGAAATCCTCATTTTCATAAGAAGTGAAAAAGAGATTTTTTAATTGAAAAAACAAAAATGAATGTTTAATAATTAAGTCGATTAAAATGATATATATAAATAAAATCTTCTAATCGAGCGTTACCTTTAAGTAAATAATCTAATTTGGCTAATTTGACATAATCATAAATAAAAGAAAAAGAAGAAATAAGTAAATGAAATGAAGCAATAAGATCATTAATAGTTGATGGATAAATTGTTTTAGCTAATGCATATATTGTCCATATAAGTGAATATAAATCTTGATGTGAACATTTATGTAATTTATTTTTTGTATTTAATTTAGGATTTATTTGATTTGATGCTCTTTTATATTGATAATCGGAATAAATTAATGTATCTTGATTTCCACCAAATATTTCAATAAATATTTTCGTATATTTTTCAAATATAATTGATGATATATTAAAAGCATGTTCAACTTGATCAATTTTTGATCGAATTGAATCAGGTAAATTGGCCATATCTTCCCATTTATGTAATTTATCAAAAAAAACAATTAATTCTAAATGATTAGCACTTTTTAATAAACGTGATATTGATATTGGATTATTATCGTTTGTTGTTAGATGTTTATATCTTCTACATGATACATATAATGAAACAGCTAACCAATGTAATTGATCATCTTCTAAAACATAATGTTTACGAATATGTTCATATGAACGCCATGCATCTAACTTTGTTTCCATATCCATATTTAAATCAAGACATAATTTTGAATATAACATTTCAACTGATTCATCATCTTTATTTGACATTTTACTTTTTTTCTTTTTTATTCTAAAATAGTAGAAACAAAAAACAAAATAATTGACATTGATTTAAATTTTAAAAAAACTTACATTAAAAAATCAAATAAATGAAAATTTATTGAAAAGCAAAATTTCAAAATGTCTTTATTTGTTCCTAAAGCTTTTATTTCTATATGATAAATGTCAATGTTCGTTCGTTGACAGATTATTCTAACAAGAATTCAATCATATTTATATTCGTCTACATTTAGAGTTTTTTTTTTTCTCTGTCGTTCGTGTTTTTTCCCAAATTGATTTAATCGACCAATGAACAAATATTTGTTTGACTTAGTTCATTGAAAGGTCATCATCTACGAGAAAAAAAACATACAGACAAGAAAATAACCAATAATCTTCGTGTTTTTTTAATTCAATTGATAATATCAGTCAAACTAACAAAGATTATATTGAGGGTGTGGGTGGGTGTGGGTGCGGGTGCAAGTAAATGGAAAGATGATATTCATCCACACCCTCCAGCAACCCACACACACCCATACTGCACTCACCCACACCCACCCTCACGCTGATTCTTTTTGCCAACTGACATTTTCCAAAACTATCGTACTTTTGGAATTATCAAGACCACAGAGTCAATACTTAAAACGTGTCAAAAATAATTTCCGCTACGTTCCCTAGTGGAAGTACTCACCTAGAGAGTAATCAAAAAGTACTCACGCTGGAAAATGCCGCGAGTACCCATGAGCACTCGGGACTTTTGAGTACTCATCAGTCGTACTCATGATGAGTTTCGAGTATATGAGTACTACACATCCTTACTTTCATGGCAGTGTATTCTGGTTGAGTACTACGATCGGTCATTTCTTATACTTGGTAGCAACTAGACTATTTAAAGTCCGAGTTTGTTGCCCTTTGAGGGCTTCGTAGACTCTGGATAAGTCCGCTTCGCTGCAACGCCACAGTCACAGAAGGAAATTATCTTGTTAAAATTATGAACTTATCGTCCATAGGAAGTCAGCGCACGATATCTTCTTCGTCCTTACACATTTCATTTTATATATTGAGTCTTTTCAGAAAAAAAGACCACGAGTACTACAATGAGTACTCAGGGTCTTGGCTATGAGTAGATGTGTAGTGGAAGATTCGTCTGAGTACGTATGTGAGTACCCGGTCATTTTACATACTCATGAATTTTTGAGAGTACTCGCTCGAGTTATCTGAGTACTCATGCTGGCAAGTCGTACTCTCTGGATGAGTACATTCACTAGGGTTCTTCTTTGATTATCTGGTACCATCCTATATGTTATATTTAACGGTGTGTTGGATAGAGCGTATGAATATATTAAAATCAAATCATGCATAGCTCTTTTGGGAGAAGTCCAACTCTGAGATTTTATCGTCCAAAGTTTGAAGAACTTCTGAAAAACCAACATTGCTCAGTATGATGACTTACTAGGTTTTGTGTAGACTAACTCTTATACTACATCTGTGCTAGACAACTTCCAAATATCCCGAAGTCCTGCACATTCTATCAACAAATTATACACCAACTGGCTATGAAATAAGCATTCGACGCTTGGACTAGATTGGAAACTAAGTGCATATGAGTAATTCGCGACGAGGAACTCAATGGAATCATTGCCGAAAGGTTTTCTGGTGAAACTAACAGAAAGATTGGTTGCTTGGCAAATTTTCGGTGAGAATCCGGTTTTTCAACTTTTCGGTTCCCGTTTCGTCTTAGCGCCTGGAAGCTGTCTATCAATGCGTCGTCAATTTAGGGAAGAAGGGCTAGCGAAAAGATGGCGGTTGATGGTGGATAGTGGGGAGTCAAAAAGGTCGAAAAATCGATGATGTCGTTGGTAGAGAGCCCTCTGTGCGTGATATTTAGAATTGTTTGAAACAGCGAAAACCGTCTACAGACAAAATTTCAACTCCTTAGCTATTGATTTCCTTGACTTTCAAAAATTAGGCTACTTCGACAGGCCCATAATAAAAACCATTATGCCTAATTTTTCATCCATGTGTTCTAAGATAACTCGAACATTTAACGTGCTTTAGTGTACAATTGTCCATAGTATCACCACGCAAAAGTTTCATGAATGACGACTGCACTGTGTATAATACGCTGAGTGTCTCTGGACAATAGTCATCTGAGCCGTATCCTTTATTTGGATATGCACTTGTATATGAAACATTTCTCACCTTCACCTCTCTTGAATAGGGGTTGAATTTCATGAAGATTTCAAGTGCAACTTCATTACTAAGCTAATTAAACTCAGAGATAGAAGTTTATTGAAAATTCGCTGCCGAAGGAAAACTTCATGCAAAAGCGACAAACTACAAACGCTGAGTGTAACCTATAAAGTTATACAAGAAGCCTGGTCTTGATTAGGTTTTAGTGCTTAATTCTCAACTGTGTTAATCACTGTAGATTATATAATTCACTGTTTGGTAAGGATTTAAAATACTAAACGTATGTGCACCACCTACAGCACCACTTTGACCGATAATTGAATGACTATGACTACCAGCTGTATTAATGCTTATACGCGTTTTATCAATAGAAATGGAATGTGAATGTAAGCCATGATCACTGCTGCGGCCACCTGTTGGTTTATACATGGGCATAGTTCCTCCACTGTACGCTGAAGTGCCCGTCTGTCCACCGTGATAATGTCCAGGATCATAATACGAATGTGAATGATCACCTGCTGTTAGAGTAGAATAGGTACCTTGACCGTGAACATGTGATGGCAGTTGGTCTAGTGTCAAAGTGTGTGTTGCTTGGCCGCCTCTCATACCCAGTTTTCCTGCGTTGTTAACGGGTGTGGATGTGAGTGTGGGGTGTGGCTGTGACTGTCGCTGTGGCTGTGGATGTGGGTGGGTGTGGGTGTGTGGCTGTGGCTGTGGATGTGTGGCTGTGGGTCAGAATACACTTCAACACCCACATCCACCGAATGTCGACACGATCCCCATCAGTGCGAATGGATGTAGGTGCGAGCGTGAATGCGCTATCCATTAGTATCCACATCCTTTTTCTATTTCACCTTATTATGCTGTCGTATTTGTCATGAAATTTATGACGGTGCAAAGACAAAGCAATACAGTTTTATTACTGTGTGATCTATACATCAAAATGAAATAAAACTTTCATGTCATATCTCTCTCCTCACTAATAAATTTAATGCAAGGTTTGATAGCGTAAAAAGATAAAGAGGGAAAAGGTTCTGTCCGGGGATGTATGTTCTAAAAGGGAACCTATGCATGTTTTTTTTCAGATATTTAATTCCTAAAGAAGAGTTAAAGAATCGGTTTTAAAATGAAATGATGAATATAAATCTAAAGATGATGTACGTTTGCTGTTTATTTATCTATTCGGAACTTGATGGACTAAAGACATGAGTGATGACTATATAATAACTACGAAGAAACTTTGATAGGAGGTTACATTTAAGACACTATATCTCAACAAGGGTTTAAACGCGCATTCATTAAAGATAGATGATGACATACTCTACCAAATAACAAATTAAAACTTGAATTAAAGTTCGGGGAAAGTCCTGGAAAATAACTGCATTATTAACCAGTGCTTATTTTTTACTATACTTGATAGTGTGAGTCATTCTTTATTCTATACCTGTACGCACACCAACATCCAGTGTACAACTTAATTCTATCTTTTGTTCATGTTTACCACAGATGTTTCATCGAGTTCACTGCTTGTTTTTTTGCAAATCGAATAATTTTTATGCGAAAACTCGATAAACTTTTTCTTTCTCCTGAAGAATGCTCATGATCTGCATACTTTTTCAAGAACCATGCTTATTTCGTTTTTGATTAAAGACATTTTTTCTAGTCTTCTAGTCATGTCTACTTACATGCCATGAGTCAATAGAAAGTCCAATGTTTTCTCTCTATTCTATTCACAAGTGCCTGTCAAAATTAACTGCAATACACCATCAAATAGCTATTTGACTTTGAAAAATGTCGTGATAGAAACTTCAAGGTCAAGATAGAGATTCATATTTAGCTACCCTCCAATTTAATTTAATTGAGTATTAGACAAGAACTGACAATTTTTGACATAATTCAATGTATTTATTTCAACTTTTTGTTTGCTGAAAAACACGTATTCCTATCACACACATTGTTGGCTTTGTTAATCTGTTATGTCTATTTTGAACTGCCTTCGTTATAAAGAACGACAGTTGTTAAGCAACTAAATTGATCTTATTTCAAAATTGATTTTTATATTTTCCAAATAGTCAATCAAGACGTCAGGACTCGGTTGCTGTTAGACCTTATTTCGGCTGCTCGCAACTAACTCAAAACTCGATATTACTGATCTCCTATAGTGTTATACACTACAGTGTTGAGATGAAAAGTTTATCTCCCTTCTTGAACTGCTTTAATTTGAACTATATATTAAATGAAAGGTCATTTTTTCTGCTATCGAATGACGTATACAACTATAACAAAATATTCTTCTTTCTGTTTTGCTTTTCGATGACATTGTTCATTTGTATATACGAAATTAGAATATCCATGACAAAACTTCCTCACTGGTAAGCTCTGAAAGCAGTGGTCCACTTTGAAGCTCTACAAATGGCTTCTATTTACATTGAGCTTGATTTGTAAGTAAAACATCCCATTCAAATGCACAATATTCAAGAGCACTAAGAATTGCTCTTTTTTCACTGATATTTGACCAATTTTGACTTGAATAATTAGACTTTTCATCTATACAAACGATGTATTTAAAATGAGCAGAAAAAAAACTAATTGAGTCTATGCGTGTCACAAAATGATCCATCAAGTGTCACATTCCTTCAAAAATCAAATCGTGGTCCCCCTCAGGAATAATTGTGACATTCATAGATCAACTCAGTATTTTGTGCTCATTTCCAATATATCATTTTTCTTAGTAGAAAGTGTAATTATTCAGGCCAAAATTGCTCGAATATCAGTGAATAAGAGCTGTTTTTGATGTTCTTGAACATTCTACATTGAAATAAAGTATTTTACTCACAAACCAAGCTTGATGCAATAGTAACATTTTGTAGAGCTTCAAAAGGTCTATCGAATAGTATGTAAATCAAAGTGGGCCGCTACTTTCACAGCTCAATAATGAGGAAGTTTTGTAATGGGTATTCTCATTCTACATAACAGAAGACAAACATTCTATATAAACACTGCAATACATAATTCTATAGGTGATCAGTAATATCGAGTTTTGAGTGAGTCACAAGCAACTGAAATGAGGCCTAACGGTCTGACTTTAATGCTAACCAACTTCTAACATCTTAATTGACTCCGAAAAAAATTAGAAAATTTAGCAACGAGTGTTAATTAAAGATGACTTTAAAGTCCTCACAACATTTACGCAATCTTTACATTTGTTGTCGTTAGATCATTGATTTTTAGCAATGTGGCACGTGTACAGATGAGTTAAAAATTGTCTCGGATGGTCATGTGAAACTTTTGATGGACTAGTAGTACGAAAAGGTGTAGATGACCACATGAACCTTCTGCCAAAATAATACTGTAATCCGAACAAAATAATAATCGAGTTTAAGCAACATGTCAAGAAATATAATTGCAGAAATATTTGTGTGAATGATTGATAATGATGAATTAATGAAATCCGTGACAGTAAGTTAGTCTTTCGTTAGTTTATTTGAAGTTTTGAAATTGAAACCTATATGTCAATACTATCGATCAACAAGAAGAAGAAAAAACTTTAAAAAAAACACGTTAGTATAAGATTCCTGCTGAAGAGCTAATCGTTCTAAGGTCTATTTGCGCCTATGCAAATAGAAACTGCTGTGTTAATGTTCGCTTTGGCAAGAAGTGAGAAAGAAAACAAAACGCGCTAGGATATATTTATTGGCAACAAGTTTATTCTTGTTCATGTTTAACTTGTTGTATTGCAAATGAAATTGATTTACAAACATGATTCATCGCCAATAAACTAAAAGAAAAAAGAAGAATATGCAAACAGGAATAAAATATGAAAAGATCAAATACGTGATATTTTGCTAATCTCTCTTCATTTTTTTTTGCAAGGTTGAAAATAAAGCCTCTTTGTAAATGTCGCTCACTTGGAAGAACAGCAAAAAGAAAAAGCACAAAAAAAAAGAAATAAATCTGACATCATAAATTTTATCCACAGAATTTCATATTCCGCACGAACACATACCCTGAATAGTATTATAAAAGTATATGTTTGAGATTTCTCAACCATAATATATTCGTTCATTGTTACGGCATATTTCGAATCATGACTCATTCATATTTAATGATCAATTCTCTGAGTAATGCGAAATCTACTCGTCATTATGAAATTCGTGAGAAGATATTCTCGCTGCGTAATAATTACGAGATCAAAGACGAATTGGATCAAGATGTTTTCATCGTTCGATCAAAATTGTTAACAATCGCTGACAATATTCTTTTAGAAAATATGGCTGGAAAGTAAGTTCATGTATCAGTTCTAAGTTGTCTTGCAAACTATTGTTTTATGAAAATTTATTCTACTCTCGAATAATGAGTCAGATCAGTTGAATGAGACTCAAGGCTGTTCATGCATATTTTATTAATAAAATAAAATACCTAATATTATTCATCTATAGTAAGAAATCTAAGAAAGTTCAGAGAAATCACCTCGAACTGACTCAATATCAAAGGAAGAACACCGAATTCGCTGAAATACCATTTGAACAACTAAGAGATATGTACTGTCAGTATATCAAAATTGCCTAGTGATTATTGCTCGATATTTGCAAGAATTAGTTAGAGAATCCAATCTTCTAAATATTTACGAGCTCTATAGATTATCGAATAATTACCATTTTTATTGACAACACTATAGTATTCTTTTAGAAGATGATAGAAACACACGTAACAAAAGGAAGAGTGGCATAAGAAAATACTACACAACAGGATACTGAGAGAAAACAAATGGTTACGCACACATGAATAGATGTTTCAATTCGTTGGGTCTTCATTGAATTTTGATGTGTGAAATATAGCTGAGAAGCAAATCGATCAACATTTCTTGAAAATATTTATCAACAGTGATAGAACTTACATATTAAATGATTGTCTCATATTGATAATATTAGATCATTTTTTCAACTGAAATATTAATTACATCAAGATTGACTTGCACTTGACGTACATCTACTTTTTGTTCTTGTTCATCCAGCTCGCTTGAGACTAACGATTGGTTCATGTAGTCACAAATGCTATAGAGACATTAGGTATTAATTGAAAATAACGATAGATTCTTTCTCATAGACAGGCAAACTTTTCGATTTCATCCACTGTTATCAGGTAATCGAAGTTATATTCGAGAAGTCTGTGGATATAAGGTCTAGAATCCTATTGTCTCGTTCGACTAGTACAGAGCAAATTTTATCGAGATGGTTTGGAACAGTATTCTATTTTGCCTTATGTTGTATCCGAAAGTCTACAATTTCTACTTTTAGTGGCCTGGTAAAGATCGAAGAAGAATTACTTCATTTAAATCCAACATACAAAATATTGTCTGCACGTGATGGTGATGCGGGTCGCCAATTAGCATTAGTTAAAAAAAAATTTTCATTGCATGAAAAATTTTCCGTCGATTCAGTCTATGGTGAATATGAATTGGAAGCACTAGATTTGTTAGGTTGTTTATTCACATTGGTAAAAGAAGGACGCATAGTGGCAACTGTAAGCAGGAAATACGACACTGTGGCTGACGCCTATACAGCAGAAATCGATGGGGATGAAGATCATGCATTCATCATAGCACT